TCACCGTCCTCTTTCCACAAACACAATACTCATCCAAGGTGACCTCCGAAGTCTGGTTCCACATTTTCTCCTTCTTTTCTTTGGCGATTAGGGTTTGTTCTTCAGCAATTGAGAAAATTACACTTTCAGCAATTGGGGATTAGGGTTTGTTCTTCAAAAAATCCGATTTGGGGGTTTTATAGAGAGGGTCGATAGTTTTTGTATGTTAAATGACGACTTTGTCCAAGTTTAATAACTGAAAGGTCAATTTTGCCCTTCTCTTTTGAAGTCCGATGGTCGGAAGTCGCATAGTGAAAGGAATTCCGTAAGTTCGAGTGGGAAAGTGTCGCCGGAAAAAGTTCGGTGGGCAAAGTGCAAATAAGCGAATAGTTCGGTAGGTAAAGTGTAATTTTCCCTTATTTTTTTTCTCTTTGATGGAGTTTGTACTCCGTTGAGCACTTTTATAGTTCTAAAGGGGTAGATCTATATTTTTTGAATCTTTCGGCGTCGTTGACACTACCCCGACTATACAATTATGAGTTTTTTAGTTATTAACATTATATTTTAACAAAAAAAAATTAGAATTTTATGTAACTTATATTAACATGATGAGTTTTTTTAGTTATTAACATTTCGTCAAACAATGAATTTTTATTTTTTTTTAGTTTTTTAAATTAACTTGAAGACGATGAAAATTGTATTTTTTATTCCTGAATTAATTTTCTAGAAATGTAAATTCCTGCTTTAAATTGCCACAATTAATATTTATACTTAAGTTGCAATCGAAGTAAACCTTTTTATAAATAATAATTTTTTTATTTTAGAATCATAAATATTTTCACACAATTCCTAATAATATACCCTTAAATTGCAATCCATCCAACTAAAAGTTTGTAGAAATAAATTCTTTCTTAGTCTAGAATCATAAACATAAATATTTTATCATATTTCCTAATATACCCTTCAATCCCTGGCAACAAAAACCCTTCAGCTTAAACCCCACACAAGATTTCTTCAAAATTTCTCAATTTTCCCAAAACCCACAGCAGAAAATTGCAAGCGTTTCACCATGGATCACGCAGCTGCTGCCGAAGAGAGATTGGTGCACGAGAGGCTGAGGCAGAAGCTCAATGAGGTCAACGCCGCCGCCCAATCGCACCTCGCCGGTGTAAAAGACCATATCAATTTCACCCTGCAGGTCAATTTTCCATTTGTTCATTGGGTGTTTTTGTTTCGATTTTTTTTTTCTTTTTTTTTTTGGTAATATGCTGAATATCATTGCTGTTTTTTCTTGGCTTTCTCCCCTTTTTTTTGTCTTGGCAGCAAGCGTATTTCAAGTGTGCGTATGAGTGTTTCGATCGGAGGAAGAACCAGAACGAGATAGACAACTGTGTGGAGCATTGCAGTGTGCCCGTGTTGAAAGCCCAGAATCTTGTCGAAAACGAAATGGCTAAATTTCAGGTAAATGGGTTTTTACTTTTTTCCCTGAAAAATTATCTTCAGGGATGATTGGTTGTGTTTATGCTTGGGTTCGTGTTTCGTAATGGAGATTTAGACTCCTATCGGCTGAATTGTGATTGTCGTGACTCGTGTGGTTTCCCTTTAATACTAGTGTTCAATTTAATCTGGTGTTAACAGTTTAGGCTTTGTTGTGAGTTTCAATCTGTGGGTGAGGGCTAGAAATGAACTTCTGTTTTACTGTTGCATTCTATCTATGGATATTCTTGAAGGTACAGTGGAGTTTTCCTTGATTTTTTTTTTGGTTGTATACTGGCATTAGAGCACAATTTGTAGTTATGAGGTACTATACTCCCCTTATTAGTGACTGACATTTTATTTTTATGTAGCATAATGTGTATGTTGGGCTTGTTATGTTTGTCGCCATTTTGGTTTTGTTTAGTTTCTCTCGATCATGTGTTTACTTTTTTCCCATTCGATATGTCTTGTCATTATTTTCGAAGCCTTTCTATTATTCAGGGGTGATTGGTCATTTGGTTGTGTTTATGCTTGGGTTCATGTTTCGTAATGGAGATTGTGATTGTTTTGTGGTTTCCCTATAATGCTAGTGTTCGATTTAATCTGGTGTTAACAGTTAGGCTTTGTTGAGAGCTTCAATCTGTGGGTGAGTGCCAAAAATGAACTACTTACTGTTGCATTCTATCTATTGATATTCTTGAAGGTACAGCCGAGTTTTCCTTGATTATTTTTTTT